ATATGCAGAGGCCTGGATTTTCAGAGACTGATTCTGTGACCTGACCCTGACCTGCAATGCATACATCTCTGGAATGCTGGCAGGGTTTTATGTGCAGCTGTTCAACCAATCCCTCCTATAGAAGTAACTATGAAAGGTTCTGTATAGCTTTTATGCTGAAAAGTATATTTAACAATAAAGCAGCAGTAAGAATAGAGATATGTTAGAGGAAAACAATTAAATGGCTTGGTGGAAGGTGTATAGTTTTTTGCTATGTTGAGCTGATCATATTTTTAAATAAAAAAGCTCTGTTTTACAATGCATAAAAGTATTACTGCATTTAGGTGAGAAATCAGGAGGTTAAACGCTTCACAAAGATTTTTGGCTCCTAACCAGTGGACATTCTGCAGCATAGTAGTTGGCAAATGTTGCATTGCTGGAGACCCTGCTTCTTTAGATATTTTGATTTTAAATGTTAGCTCTCACTAGCTAGAAATTATGCAGGAGAAAGTTCAGCACCACATAGCAGGCATTTGAAAATCCTACTCATCATTTTCTCATGTACCTAATAAAAGCTCCAAGGGAAGCCAAACACTTGCCTAGGGTCATTGCTTCCTAAGTTCAAGCTCCTTATAAAAGGAACATTTCAATACGCAACACAGGTTTCTCACTAGCTGGATCACTTCAACTTAATATAAATACAATGCATGAGGCATGATTTCATACTGCTCAGACAAGTATTAAAAGAAAAAGCAGACTCCCATATCCACTAGAAACTAAATGAGGCAAGGGCAGGACCAACTTCATCCCTAGCCACTGTGGTCTCTTATTCCACATTAAATTTTCTGATCTCCTGACTTGGCCCTTGCCAGTCAGACAGGGCAAGTGAGTCTGCTGGAGCTTGTTGAGTCATAAGAGACAATTCTCCCTATAGCTGAAAGCGGTGGGGAGTGTGAGGGCAGCAAACTATTTTCAACTGCTTGGAGCATGGCTTTAGCAGTATTTAATGGTAGTTGGTGCCTTCTGGGGGGACTTTTCCAGTACGCTCAGAGTGGCAACCGCAGAAGTGTCACAGGACAGCAGGAACAGAGACCTGGCTCCAGCACTGGAATGAATGAGAATGAGCCTACCATGCAGGGTGGTATGGGGTATGTGTAGACCATATGGCACAGCTTGTGCGGAGGGCACATTTGCTTCATCTCCCCCATTTTTACTGTACAGGGGTGATGGTACTTCTGTGCTGGTAGCCACAATGCTGCTGCTGGGGTGCTGTTTTGGGCACTTAGTGTGTTGCAGCACTCCTGTGGTTCAGACCCTTTCCGGGGATCATGCTGGTGAAACCTAACCAGGAGGCTTCTCCCCCAGCCTGCAGCAGCACTGTGCCCATCAGTGGCATTTAGGGGCTGTTGTTATCTTCCATCCGTAAGGACTTGCTCGATGACTGCTATTGAGAGCAGAATGAAATATCACAGTAAAGAAATCATGGTAAAAACTTGCCCACCCCAAGAAAGTGTGTCTCCTCAGGGCAGGCTCTCCCTCTTTCTCCCCCCAGGCAGCCTGTGTTTGCAACAGGCCCCAAACACCAGGATGTCAGCTGGTTACTCAGCCTTTTTTTGAGGAATCTGGGGGGAACGCTCCCACCAGGGTCCCAACCCCGCCCGGGGGAGCTGCTCCGGCTCCCACCACGGTCCCAGCCCCGCCCGGGGGAGCTCTTCTGCCTCGGCTGTGCTCCAGGAGGCCGAATCCTGCGCCCAGGTGTGAGCGATAAGTCGGTGCTACCAGCAGCCCTGCCCCTCCCAGCAGGGCAGGCAGACAGTGCTGGGGGAATCTGGCCACCTTTCCAGAGAGACCGCAGTGAATGGTAACTGTCTTGTTGAAAATAATTACAATCTTCTCACAGGGGCTTGTTTTTTTAAGAGGAACATGTTAATGTGGAAGTCTCAGGGAACACGAGGACAATGCATGTCAAGCTGTAAATTTTGAATCTCGTCTGTGTGTTGCCATTCATGTCTCCTGAGCTTCAGAGGAGAATAAGAGGTGAGGAGGATCTCAGGCCCGTGCCTGCGATCTTGCCCCTTGAATTTTTGACTGACCACTGGAAAATATTAAATGAGGTAGGCAGGCAAGCTCATGGACTAGCTTCAGTTGTTTGTTCACAATTTATAGCAAGGTAAGAACAAGTTATAGTTACTGTTAAAAATGAAATATCCTTCTTTTCCCTATTTACTTCTTGTTGAAAGTCTTTTTTTGGTGCAGAATACTGAATACATTCCTAGCTTTTAAAATGTAGCTTACATTGATGCCAAAATGTTCTGGTTTCTTGCTGACTTTTAATAATATGTTTTTCTTCAGAAGCTAAAACACTCCTGAGAATAAACAAACCCCTAAGTATTAATATTTGGTTTTATGTTTGGCTAACGTTAACCTTTTGTACTTTCCTACAAATGCTGATTGAGAGTTGTATCTATCTCTGCAACTTTGGGGTAATTTGTGTTCTGCCTCCACCCTCATTTCTGTGCTTTATGTGGAATATCTGAAGTAAATTCTTTTATGTTTACATGCTTATCTCTGTTCACATAAGTATGCCTATTTTGGTGATGCTCTTTCCCCATAGAAATCAGAAATCCTAGTCAGAATCCATGCTTGGTTAGGATACCACATTCAGAGGCACTATCTGGAAAATGTTTGGTTTGTTTACGTTTTTTCTTGTAGTTCTTTTGTTTTTAGAATTACAGCCAGTGATTGAAAAAACTTAATAACTTTTAGTGTAATATTTAAGCTCAGATAATATGTGTGGCTATACAGTTACATGGCTTTTTGAGGAACTTACTTTTCAGGTTGTGCTGTGTGAAAACTTCAGGAAATTGTGCAGGTACATGATTTAAACTATTATAAACTTCTAATTAAAAAATTAAGAACAGTCTTTAACTTGACTATTTTATAACCCCAGCTTTGTTGATGGCTCGGTTTTGCAGCATAATTTGCAGTGTAATTACTTCTTGTGAATTATTATTAGTTATAATGAGAGTGTGTTGAGTTTGTAATGCAAGTTTACAAAAAAAGGAAAGGGAATGTTTCAGAACGTTACACTATTTCTATGTTTCCCTTACACATTCAGTCCACAATATCTTTTTATTTACTTCTGCACTATGTTAATTTCTCACCGATTGTAATAGGAGAGGAGCTTTTAAATGGGATTGGAATCTACAAGTATTCCAGTTGTAATCAAGGGTTAGATCCTTGTCAGTTCTAGTCAGTGAAAATACCAGTCAAGATAGTATTCTACTACTATGGCTCCCTCAAACTGTGCCTTAAATAATTCCTACTGTGTCTCTTCAGATGGACTGAAATGACCTGAGCTTTCAAAAGCCTTTTGCGAGTATGTGATAGTGCTGTAAGGGGTAAAATACCGCAGCAAGTCAGAAACTAAGTAGGATAACAGAAAGTAAAAGTAGGAATGGAGTCAAAAAACAAAATCATGTGACATGTTCTTGCAGGATTTGCTAGTATATTTATGAATGCTGAGTGCTAAAAAATGAAAAAAAAAAAGTCACTTCATTAGGTAAGTGAAAAATAAAAATAACCCCAACAACCCACTGAGTGTATAAAGTGACCTTATCCCCTTAAAACACTTGTGTTCCTATAGACAGAAGGCTTCTGGTGCCCCTCAGAACAGGACTTAGAGCAGTAAGTGACCAAGAAGCACAAGGAAAAAATTATGATAGTTCAAAATAACTTATTTGCATGTATTATTGACAGTGTTATTCCTTCCAAACTGAATTAAGAACAATTATTTAACAGTGACCACAGCCCAGATTTGTAAAGGTATTTAGCATCCCTTGAAAAAAAAACTGGGGGGTTGGAGGTGGGGCGGGGAGTAGTGCCTGCGTAGTTTATAAAGTGTGAATGGTGGTGTTCTTCTTTTTTAATGTGTATTAAGGCAGAGGAAAGCAAGTGTAACCTCTAGTTAGAAGAGAATGATTCCAAAACTAAGAGTCATGTAAACCAATAGGATGCATTTCCCTGGAATTATGTATTATTTAAAACAATCTCTGATTAAATAGAAATTCCTAATAAAGAAGCTTAGAGGTGTGAGGAACACGTAGTCTTTCACAGAAACTGAACCCGATAGACTAAGCAGTTTAGAGATGATAAATCATAAGCAGAAATCTATCTAATTACTTCTTGGCTAGTGTTGAACCAAGATATTGAACTGTTGAACTGATCCAATTTGGCAATTTGTCATTCTTATGCCCTTTTCTTTCCATTCCAGTTATTTTAAATCTAAATTTTTAAGGTGGAAGAGAGTACCTGTCTGGAAGTTCAGGAAACATATTTATGAAGTATGGATGCTTATACATCTGAACAGAAAAGGAGGAAACACAGCAACAGATTAAAACTGTTGCACAAGCTTCCAAAATAGTCAGCAAGTGGCAGTGTTTAAATCAATTATTAAATGTATAGGGTGAAAGAGGAATGCTTTATTGTATCTTTTTCCTTAGTACTATGTGAATAGTGCTATTTTTCTTGTTTGTTTTGTCTTGTTTCATACCAGATGTTCTCATCAGGAAAAACAATGGTAGGGTGTTTTAATATTGATGAGTTGATTCTTCTGGGAATAATAGTATATCTACCTTCTCAGAATACAAATGGTAGGAGGTTTTTTTATAGTGTAATTACTATAATGCATCAAATTATAAGTGCAACTGTTCAAAACTGTGGAAAGAATATTTTGTTTATTATCTTCCTTCTATCTATTTTCAGAGTGACTCTACTTTTAAAACTCTGTATTGTGTTTTGGTGGCCTCTAAAAAGTAAACATGTAAATCACCAGAGGTACAGTGTAATCTGTCAAAGTAGCATATGCTTAAGCACCTTATAAACTATTAAATAATCATAATATTTCTCTTTCCAAGGTTATTAGTTTATTCATTTAAGCAATTGCAGAGTAGTTAAAGTACTTTGCTTTAACTTATTTTTTTTTCTTTTTTTTTTTTTTTCCCCCCTCCAGGAACTTAAAGTCCTCAAATTATAAATGATTTGGTGACGAGCTGAGCTTGCAATGCAGGCAATAAAAACCGTGGAAAAAGAAGTGACTTTTATAAAGGAAATACTTTTCACAGAATCCTTCCTAAAGAAGCAAGAGTGCAGCAGCAGCCCGGAGAGCAGGCGGCTCTGTGAGCAGCAGCCATTGGAAGGAGCTGTCTGCAGCTCTCAGTGCTGTACTGAGCATGTCCCAGCGGAGCCCAGTGCTAGCAGCACATTATGCAAAAAGGCAGCTCTAGCAGATGGGAGAGAGGCACAGCAAGCATTTGCTTCACTTGCATCACCACCGCTTGAAAACAAACCTGGATCGCTAGAGGGGATCTCGCCGGCAGGCCAAGGGAATGAAATCCGGGAGCATGGCTTGATTGCCGAAGGAGTTGCACTGCGAAAAATCATGGGGAATCAAGATGGGAAGCTCAAGAAAAATACAGGTGATGTGCATGAAGGAGGAGAGGATGCCTCTGGGCCCAGGGATACAGATGGCACAAAGAAGGTATCGGGAAGCAGAAGGGGACTGGGGAAGCATGCAAAAGGAAGTGAATCTGGTAAGAAGAAGGGTAAGTCAGACTCGAAGGCCTCGGTGTTTTCAAATCTGAGGATCAGAAAAAATCTGTCCAAGGCTAAAGATGGGAATAGTAGTTCACGGGAGGATGTTTTGGAAAGCCAGGCCTTGCAGCCTGGAGAGCTGGACAGTACTCATTCAATTGTAACCAAAACTCCAGATATAAGCATCTCTGCGGATGAAGGGGGTCTCTCAGACACAGACGTGGAACATTTTGAAATCAGAAATGAAACTGTCCCAGCTGCTACAGAAACACAGGATGGACAAAGGACCAGCTCTGGCTCTGATACGGATATATACAGTTTCCATTCAGCCGCAGAACAAGAGGATTTGCTTTCTGATATCCAGCAAGCTATTAGACTGCAGCAGCAGCAGCAGGGGGCAATTAACATTGGAACTGAGGACCTTGTCACCAAAACAATGGGCCGACACACGGCTAATTCGCAAGCAGCCCCCTTAGATTTTGAACGGTTTCTTTCAGTAACTACCACCGACAAAGAGAGGAGCCCAGACACTGAGGGGGCTTCTCCAGCGTTAACTGAGATTCCGGAAAACATTCCTGTCTCCTGTGCAACTGAACGTGAGCTGAAAGAAGTGGTAAATGGCACAGGCTCTCCTGGTAACAGCTTATTTGAAACACAAGAACATAAGCTATTGATTGAGGAACAGCTCGTTGCTGGAGGGGATGCTGTAGTTAGTGAACTAGAAGATGATTTAAGTAGAACTGCAGTAGAAAACAAATCTCAGACACAGAGCTCCACACAACCTTTTCCAACCCCGGTAGCAGATGCTGAGACTAAAATTGCTGGAGTGAAGGCTGTTGATTTGCAGGACTCAGTAACAGAGGATGGTATTTCAGATGCAGGCCATGATCATGCTGCTGAGACTCAGGAAGAGAAACACAGTCTGTCAGCCAGTCAAGAGGACCTGCATAATGGTTTATCCACGGAAATTAAAAATGGCATTTTGTCCTCCGAGGGGACAGCAGACAGTCCAATGCTTGGTTCCCGATGCTTTAGACCCTATCTAATTAATCCTTGTTACATCAAAACCACAACTAGGCAACTGAGTTCTCCCAACCATTCACCATCTCCCTCCCCATCTCAGAGCCCGCTTTTTACAAGGAGACAGGAGTCCTTCCACCAAAAAGAAAAAGTGTCAATCAAGAAACAGAGGTCTGCTAGTTTGGCAGGTTTGTTTAGTCGTTCTGCAGACTGGACAGAAGAGGTATCTAATCACAAATGTGAGATAACGCAGAAGGTGGGCTCTGCAGGCTACTTGGAGCACAAGGGGTTTAGAGAGAAATTTCAAACAGAAAGAGTGCCTTTGACTCATTCAAGAAAGTCCTCAGGGGTGCAAGCTTCTACAGAGACATTTCCCAATGTCTTTTCAGGTGAGTGACATGTATTAAGGGTTTTTTTGTTTTTTTTTTTCTGGAGAGTATTTGAAAAGATATTTAAAATACCTCAATTCAGTCCTTTGCATGTACTGTTGTCTTTATTCTGCTGACAGTTTTAAAATCGAAGGCCTAATCTTACAAACACAATCACATTTCATTAACGAGAATAGCCTCTCTGTTCAGTGTCAGCCTGGCAGTACTGCCAGTAAAGGAAGTGCATAACTCTTTGAAGTTTTTCTTTCTGCTCTTCTCCTTTGTTTAAGTCCTGTAGGAAAAGGCTGGATGCCTTAAATTATTCTTGCTGAAAAATGCTAAGAGCTGCACTGTTGTAGGCAGACTAGCTCTCTGCATAAATAGATCTTTCAGATGCGAAGCTTTCTGTAACTGGGATCCTGTTTGGGGTTTTCTTGTGCTAGGCACTGTTCTGATGTACTGTAAATATTTGAGAGCTGCACCTGGTATTAGACTAAGGCAGCGATGAGGATTTGCACAGAACAAAAAGGAAAAAGCCATGTAAGCACAGATGGACAGCACTACAGAAAGGAACCAATTTCCCCTTCAGAAGGGGAAAAGAGGAGAAAAAAATGTTAATGACTTGAAAAGGCAGCATAAAATGGAGAAGGGAAACTGGGTAGTACAATTTGGTAGCTGTGACAGGCTGCTGCTCAGGCAACATAAGGTGACTCACTCAGGAAAGCATTCTTTTACCTTGCCTGTTAGGCAGCTTGCATCCTCTCACAAAGGAATATAGAGTTTACAAATGAAATAGTGTGAATAGATGGTTATATCTTCTGGCACCCTGAGGGTTTCTTTCCCCTCTTTCTCTTCCCCCTATCTGAAGTTTCTATAGAAAGCTAATGCACAGCTATATCACAGAGAAGGCCTCTGCCACATAGCAGATATGTATCCAGAGGACACTCAGCAACATATTCCATTTATTTTTCACTTAAGAAAACTGTACAACTAAGCGAATACAGGGTGCTAATGTACCCTATGAGCATCCGCTACAAGATTAAAACAGTTGAATCTATAATCGGGTTTGTTTTGAATGGAAGCCTGTTCTAGATTTATGAGCACAGTAACCACATATGTAGCAGAGCTATTTGCAAAAAATGCAGTGAGGATTTTTGTGCTTTTATGAAAACAAAACAAAATAGTATGATTTATGAAAGGAGCAGTGATATGATTTAAAAATCATGTGTAAGAAAACAGTTAAGCCATCAACAACTGTTTTGCATAAAAAGACTATCTTGTTTTGCACTGCAGAGTTTAAAAATTATATAATGTGTAATCATTTACATTCATAGTTGCTTTTTTGTGCACATTCTACTCTGCTTGAAATCACCTTAATACTGGTGAATGAACATGTCTGGAAACAGAAATTAAAACTAGTGGCTTTTTTGTACAACTCCAGGAGTTTTAAGTACTTGGGTAAAGCATTATCATTATTTTCCAGATTCAAAACACAAGAATATTTTCATTCTTCAGTAGTCTTAAATGGAAAACCTCGATTTCAGTCTTGAAAATTAGAATTCAAGTTTTTAACACAAAAAATCCAGCCCCCTATGAAGGAGACCAGCCCCCTCTGAAGTGAGACAAATCTTATTTTGTGTTTTAAATCCCTTCCACCTGTTTTCTTAGATTTAATTTCTGACATCCGTATCTAAAGTTTTACAATTTGAAGTGATCTCTACTTTCAGATTCATGGCATATAAAAAGCTATTTTTTTTTTTTATATCAATATTTGACAGCTTATAAACAGCTCAGTTAAGCTTTAAATTGCCTCATCAGTAATTAGATTTTCTTCTTTATGCTGGTGCTATGATGGAAATAAATTTTATGTGGCAAACTTCTGTAACGTGGAATTACTTTATAAAGACTTGTTTTCCAGGAAACAGGCTTCACGTTTCCTCATGAGGATTTGATTTACTTATTAATAATTTTTGTTTTATTATGTTTTCCCACCAACACTTTAGACTGTTATTGTGAAGGGACCAATGTCTAATGCAACAGTAGTTCTGTCTCTTATGGAAATTATGGTGACCCTCATTTGCATGTACATACCAGCTGTCTTTACAGGCAAGGGACAATTATACCTTTCAGTTCATGCAGAAAATCTTGAAATGGGGGAACTGGAAATTACATGATAACACTTAGTCTCCTTTTGATCATTTTTATTTTTGAAAATATATTTACAAGCTGAAAAACACCAAGAATATAAAAATAACAACTAGTGAACATGAAAAAGGGAAAGTAAACTTAGTAGTACTCCCACAGACTGACTGTTAGAGAGATGAAAAGCCTCTTTATTTAAACCAGTCTGCACAGCAATGATTATAGAAATAATTTCCTTGTAATTTGCCTACTGCTTTTGCAAAATGTTGTATTTTAATTGCATGCATCAGATGCATCAATTTGGGGGTTATCATCAGGCTTTTAGAAATAACATTTTTTACAGTGGCTTTTTTTTTTCTTTGGGAGGAAATCAGCTTCTTGCCTAAAGCATTAAATCCCATCTTGCCATGCAGTGACTGCAGTGTTGTTCTACATTTCTAACTAGAATCCAGTAAAATATTCCACAACACTTTAGTCATCGATTTTAATGACAGCAGGTTCCATGCAGATGACTGGCCTACTTTTGCACTATATTGTGGTTTGGCTTTGTGCCATTTGGTTTTCACAGTGATCCATATGAACTCTTCTAAAGCTGTTTTAATGTAAAATATAGATGGAAACCAACAAGTGGAATGTTAGAGACTTCGCTTATTTTAAGGTTGCTTTATATAAGAAATAAGTAAGGTATTATAAATTTGATGCATTGGCTAAGAATGTGGTGTGGACAAATATATGGGCATTTTGTAATTTGGGCATCAGATCCATTTCTTTTATTATGAGGACAGCTGTATTTGAAATTGCAGTGACAGTAATTACAAGTTCTAGATTACTTGATGCACGGTGGAGCCACGGCTTTTATGTTGTGCTCCCAGGAGAACAAGAACTGAATCTGAATGAACAGGGTTGTGTATGTGGCAATGAATGATTTGAGCTGACATTAAAAGACTATCTTGGTGGGGAAAATGAAATTGATATTTCCAAACATTAACATAACTGAAATGAAAGAGCTAATAGATTGATTTAATAAAATGAGTTTATCCTAGCATCCTTACTAGCTCTACCCTAGCAGAAGAGCTAGTAAGGGTGTCTGTTACATAAACTGAGTGTAAGAGTCCCATCAGCTGCCCCAGATGGTAATTAAACCCAACCCAGACAAACCCATGCCCGTTCTAATCTCTGTTGCCTGGCTGTAACACACTTGCTGCATGAATCTGTTACAAACAGATGATTTATCTTTAAATTTCTCTTCGGAGATTTGTATTTGTCCTGTTCTAGCTGTAAACAGGAGACAAACAAACAAGAAATCCTGGTTACCATAAAACAAAACCTGAAGTCAGTCCTGTGCTTGTGTGCTCATGGACAATTTCTGATTTCCACAGAGTGCTGGCCTGGGTCTCACAAAGGCCACTTTATCTCACTGTGCTAATGTCATCTGCACCCACTTGCAGTTCCAATGCAGTGTCTGCAGGCATATACAAAGGTCTTAGTATAGCTAAGTATGTGAAAACTTGAAAAAACAGGATGCGAGTTTGTTTTTGAGACATAAAGTAGATCTTTTAAGTTATTTTTTCAAGGTTTGGTTGTTTTTTGTTTGGTTGGTTTGGTTTATTTTTTTCATTTTGATTCATGTGATGATGCACACAATATGGATTTGTATCTACTGGCATCCTGAGGAGACTGTCGTGCAACTGTTATTGAAGACTACTTATGGTTTGCTGTTTCACTGATGTTTGTTAGCAGTAATACAAAGGTGTCTTTTATCAGATGGCGAGGCAGTGCGGCCTCCTCTAACTAAGGGAGCTGCCAGACAGCAAACCATCATGTGATATGGGGCTGATACACCGAGTGTTGCTTATAAGCATCAGAGGGGAAAGGTCCTCCTCTCTTTGCCTAATAAACACAAACCTGGGGGGAGGGAAGGGCTGCCATACTGCACTCCAACTACACTAAAATGCGTTTGAAAATGGGTTGTGATATGTTATTGGAAGACTGCTGAGTGCTGATAAGTTGCTTTAAAGTTACTCTGCCAGCACTGCAATGTGGGAATGGGAGCAACATGAGTAATGTCACTGGAATGCAGTGCTACCACAGAGTTGTTTTGATGGGGTCTTATGATTAATGCTTTGATCTTTATCTAGAACTTCACTGGGAATAGCCGGTTTTGGCCATGGGATTGAGTGGCTGCATCTTTCAGGCAACCTCTTTCTGAGCAGCAGCCCTGGTTCTGAGGTCTGACTGGCAGCCTGACTCATGTCTGGAGTAGAAATGTATAGTCTTGGTTGCCTGCTGGGGTCTTTTGGGGTGCTAAAGAGGAAAGGAAAAGGGACGATTTACAGCTACAGGTCCATGCAGCTCTGCTTGGATTTGAGACATGGAACAAGTATATGATATCTGTCATGTGGGATCCAGCTAGAACTGGTCATTAAAGGACATTGTGTGCTTCAGTGATTTTACTTCTGTGAAAAGCACAGTGGATTATTCCAGTGGCAATAGTTATATGAAATTTAAGTTTAAATATACTTCTTCGATATAACTGTGCTTTATTATTTTTTTTTAATATTTATAAATTATTTAACAGCTTGTGAGGTGTTGTGTGGTTTTGATTTAAAAAAAACCCAAAAAAACCCAAACCTGTGCATAGGCCTCTTCTTTGCAGAAAAAACAACTCTATTCCCTGAAGCAGGCCTCAGTTTTTTCTACATGCTGTGGTATCTAAAGAAAAATGAACTTGGAATTGAAAAGCATCTCTAGGAAAATTTTAGGCTGCAGGTATGTGAAGGATCAAGTTCTAATGTGAATCACCGTGATAGAAAAAACAAAAAATACTAATTAGCCAAGGTATTTTGTGCTGTAGTTTAACCAAGCTCAGGATATGGCCA